TTCTAAGAAAACATACTTCAAATTTGATGGTAACATCTTTAGCTCCAACTTCTTTTCTTTGACTTCTTCTTTGGTATCAATATTCTCAAAATTAGCCTCCTCCACTGGGATCTCTTTCAATGTCTCCAACTCCGTCATACACTCATCAATTAATTTTTCTTCCTCCTCATTCAAGTCTTCACAGGCATCAATAAGAGTTTTTTCTAACGGAGAAGAAAAATGTACCATCTTCTCTTGCACCATACAAACTTCATCAAGCATATCAAATCGGAAACATGTTTTATCATCTTTAGGGTGTGTCATGGCTTTGAATACATCAAAATCCACTTCTTCATCTTGAACTCTCACTTTAAGCTTGCCATTCTCCACATCAATTAAAACTCTTGCAGTCTTCATAAATGGTCTCCCCAGGATAAGAGGCACATCTCCATTCACCACCCAGCTTCTTTGTTGATCACTGACAGCTGGATCAATTAATTCAATTGCTCCATGTGGACGCACATTCTTCACTATGAATGACCCGGACCATTTTGACTTCAACTTTCCAGGAAACAACTTCAATCTTGAATTGAACAATAGCATCTATTGTCCTGGATTGAAAAATTTCTTTATCCACTTCCTGTCATGATAGAATTTTACCTTTTCTTTGTAGTTTCTGGATGAATCATATGCATGCAACCACATCTCTTTAAGTTCCAACATTTGCCTTCTACGCTTATTTTGAGTTTCAGAAGGATCAAAATTCAGAAATTTAAGCGCCCATAAGGCTTTATTCTCCATCTCCACTGGTAAATGACATGCTTTCCCATAGACAAGCTGATAAGGTGATAAACCCATAAATGTCTTCATTGCAGTCCTGTATGCCCAGAGAGCATCATCAAGTTTATGTGACCAATCCTTTCTTGACATAGCAACTGTTTTCTCCAATATTCGCTTGATTTCTCTGTTAGATACTTCAGCTTGCCCATTAGTCTGTGGATGATAAGGTGAAGCTACCTTATGTCTCACACCATAATGTTTGAGTACCTTAGAAAGCTGATAATTACAAAAATGAGATCCTCCATCACTAATGAGTACTCTAGGAGTTCCAAAGCGTGCAAATATTTTCTTCTTTAGAAATTTAATCATAGTGCTTGCATCATTTTTAGGACACGCCAATGCTTCTACCCATTTACTCACATAATCTACCGCCACCAAAATGTATTCATTGTTGAAAGATGGTGGAAATGGTCCTACAAAATCAATGCCCCAACAATCAAAGACTTCAACTTTTAGAATGCCTTGTAATGGCATTTCATGACGTCTTGAAATATTTCCAGTTCGTTGACACCTGTCACAATTCCTGGCATGATTATGAGCATCTTTAAATAAAGTAGGCCAATAAAAACCTGATTGGGGAACTTTTGTTGTTGTTCTTTCTCCATTGAAATGTCCTCCATATGGTGAATCATGACAATGCTAGAGAATTCCTTGCTTCTTCATTGGTAAAACATCGCCTCAAGAGATTATCTGCTCCTATTTTAAATAAGTAAGGGTCATCCCAAATAAACTACTTGGCATCAAGCATAAATTTCTTTCTTTGTTGCCAATTAAGATCTTCTGGAATTACTCCTACAACTTTAAAATTTGTCAAATCAGCAAACCACGACCTCTTTTGAATATACATGAGTGTTTCATCCGAAAAAGATTCCCAGATTTCTGTTTCTTTGCTAGTAACTTCAGTATTAACTAGCCGGGATAACTGATCAGCAATCAAATTTTCACTCCCCTTTTTATCACGGATTCTACATCAAACTCTTATAGTAGTAACACCCATCTAATCAGACGCGGTTTAGAATCTGGCTTTCTCAACAAATATTTTATAGCTGAATGATCTGTGTAGATAATCACCTTAGACCCTATGAGATAAGATCTGAATTTCTCTAAAGCATAAACTATGGCTAGAAACTCCTTCTCAGTGGTAGCATAATTTAACTGGGCATCATTCAACACTTTGCTAGCATAATAGATAGTATGAAATACCTTCCCTTTTCTCTGACCAAGGACAACTCCTATTGCATAATCACTAGCATCACACATTAATTCAAAATTTTGATTCCAATATGGGGCTATAATCACTGGGGTCGAAATCAATCTGCTTTTCAATGTATCAAAAGCTTTCAAACATTCATCATTCATCACAAAAGGTATATCTTTAACCAACAAATTACTCAATGGTTTTGCAATTTTTGAGAAATCTTTAATAAATCTTCTATAGAATCCCGCATGGCCTAAGAAGCTTCTGATTTCCTTCACATTTGTTGGTGGAGGAAGTTTCTCAATAACCTCTACTTTAGCTTTGTCTACTTCAATCCCTTTAGTAGAAATCTTATGCCCCAACACAATTCCTTCTATTACCATAAAATGACATTTCTCCCAATTAAATACCAAATTCGTCTGAACACATCTTTTGAGAACAGTATCCAGATTCATCAAACACTTATGAAAGGAATCTCCAAAGACAGAGAAATCATCCATGAAAACTTCAATGCACTTTTCCATGAGATCTGAAAAAATTGCCTGCATACACCTTTGAAATATGGCTGAGGCATTACATAATCCAAATGGCATCTTTCTATAAGCAAAAACACCAAAAGGACGTGTAAATGCAATCTTTTCTTGATCTTTTGGGTCTACCACAATTTGATTGTAACCAGAATATCCATCCAGAAAACAATAAAAAGACTGACCTGTCAATCTCTCCAGCATTTGATCCATGAAAGGAAGAGGAAAATGATCCTTCCTGGTAGCTTTATTCAATTTTCTATAATCAATGCACATTCGCCATCCAATAACAGTCCAAGTAGGAATGAGCTCATTCTTCTCATTATGGATTATTGTCATTCCACTTTTCTTTGGAATTACCTGTACTGGATTTACCCATTCACTGTCAGAGATTGGATAAATAATGTTAGCTTCCAAGAGCTTCAATACTTCTTTTCTAACCACCTCCTTCATGACAGGATTTAATCTTTTTTGTGGTTGAGCACTCGGTTTATAATCATCTTCCATAAAGATCCTGTGCATGCAATAAGTTAGACTTATACCTTTAAGATCTGAAATTGACCACCCAATAGCTTCTTTGTTGGCTTTCAATATTTCTACCAACTTTTCTTCTTCTTCAGGAAGCAAAGAATTACTGATGGTGACTGGCTTTGTTCCATCTTTTCTAGAAAAACATACTTTAAATGTGATGGTAGCATTTTTAATTCTAACTTCTTTGCTTTAACTTCCTCTTTGGTGTCAATTGTTTCAAACTTAGCATTTTCCACTGGAATCTCCTTTAATGTCTCCAAATCCATCATACATTCATCAATCAATTTTTCTTCTTCTTCATTTAAATCTTCACAAGCATCAATAAGAATTTTCTCTAATGGAGAAGAATAACGTACCATCCTTTCTTGCACCATGCAAACTTCATCAAGTATATCAAATTGAAAACATGCTTTGTCATCTTTTGGATGTGTCGTGGCTTTAAATACATCGAAATTTACTTCTTCATCTTGAACACTCAATTTGAGCTTACCATTCTCCACATCAATTAAAACTCTAGCAGTCTTCATAAATGGTCTCCCCAGAATGAGAGGTACATATCCATTTTCCTCCATCTCCATGATAACAAAATCCACTGGAAAAACAAATTTGTCTACCTTGACCAGTACACCTTCAACTACTCCATAAGGATATTTAAGAGACCTGTCCGCCAATTGAAGTGCCATTCTAGTGGGTTTGAGCTCTAAGCCCTGAATTCTTAAATATAGAAAGCGACATCAAATTAAAGCTAGCTCCCAAATCAATTAGAGCTCTTCCAACTTCCAACTCTCCTATAGTGCATGGAATAGTGAAACTCCCTGGATCTTTAAACTTGGGGGGTAATTGTTGTATGATTGCACTACAATTACCTTTTACTTCAATGGTCTCCTTCTAAATATATTTTCTCTTCTTTGTAAGGAGTTATTTCAAAAACTTTGCATAAGATGGCATCTGTTGCAATGCTTCTGAGAAAGGAATGGTAATCTCTAGTTTTTTAAACATCTCCATGAACCGCTCAAATTGTTTTTCTTTTTCCTTCCTTGAATAAATCTTTGGATAAGGAAGTATTTTTTCTAACTCTCTCTCTTTTTCGCCTAACTCTTCTTTTTCTTTTTCTTTTTTTCTCTCATCTTCCTCTTCTCTCTTTTTTTCTTTCTCAATCATATCTTTCCACTCAAGTGTTTCTTTTTCACTCTCATTTTCTCTCCCTTTTCCCTCTATTTTTCTCTCCTCTAACACTTTACCACTTCTTGTTACAATGGTTTTACAATCTTCATTCAACGTGTTCTTTGCATTCTTTTCACAACCTTTTATCTTGTTAATCATTCGCCCAATATTCATCTTCATACTGTTAAATGCGTCTTCCACATTCTTACGATAAGATACACTTATTTTCATGAATTTCTGGAAAGTGTCCTCCAATTTTGTGTTTTTCTCATATGGAATAGGTTGTGATTGCCATTGTTGTTGCTACTTTTGAACCATTGAAATATTATATATCTCTTGAGGTAGTAGAGAAAGCTTCTATGTTACTTCTTCTAACTGTTGAATGATAATCTCATTTTGCGCAAATAAGGCGTCATAAGTTTGCATTTGTAACTTTACCATTTGTTGAATGGGAACTCCTATTTTGCTGTATAAATCATTATCACTAGCAGCCATGTTCTCTATTAATTCTGTTGCTTCCTCTGGAGTCTTACATTTAATATTACCTCCAGCTAAGGCATCTAACATCAACTTGGTTTGTGAACCAAGACCTCCAAGGAAAAATAGAACTATTGTTGCTTCATCAAAACCGTGCATGAGAGTCTTTCTCAAAAAGCTTTTGTACCTGTCTCATGCTTGACCTAATGTCTCCTTCATGCCTTGTCTGAAAGAAGAGATCTCTTGCTTCCCTTTGTTGACTTTAGATTGTGGGAAATATTTGTTTAAAAACTTTGCAACCACAGCTTCCCANTCTCCATCTCCACTGGTAAATGACATGCTTTCCCATAGACAAGCTGATAAGGTGATAAACCCATAAATGTCTTCATTGCAGTCCTGTATGCCCAGAGAGCATCATCAAGTTTATGTGACCAATCCTTTCTTGACATAGCAACTGTTTTCTCCAATATTCGCTTGATTTCTCTGTTAGATACTTCAGCTTGCCCATTAGTCTGTGGATGATAAGGTGAAGCTACCTTATGTCTCACACCATAATGTTTGAGTACCTTAGAAAGCTGATAATTACAAAAATGAGATCCTCCATCACTAATGAGTACTCTAGGAGTTCCAAAGCGTGCAAATATTTTCTTCTTTAGAAATTTAATCATAGTGCTTGCATCATTTTTAGGACACGCCAATGCTTCTACCCATTTACTCACATAATCTACCGCCACCAAAATGTATTCATTGTTGAAAGATGGTGGAAATGGTCCTACAAAATCAATGCCCCAACAATCAAAGACTTCAACTTTTAGAATGCCTTGTAATGGCATTTCATGACGTCTTGAAATATTTCCAGTTCGTTGACACCTGTCACAATTCCTGGCATGATTATGAGCATCTTTAAATAAAGTAGGCCAATAAAAACCTGATTGGGGAACTTTTGTTGTTGTTCTTTCTCCATTGAAATGTCCTCCATATGGTGAATCATGACAATGCTAGAGAATTCCTTGCTTCTTCATTGGTAAAACATCGCCTCAAGAGATTATCTGCTCCTATTTTAAATAAGTAAGGGTCATCCCAAATAAACTACTTGGCATCAAGCATAAATTTCTTTCTTTGTTGCCAATTAAGATCTTCTGGAATTACTCCTACAACTTTAAAATTTGTCAAATCAGCAAACCACGACCTCTTTTGAATATACATGAGTGTTTCATCCGAAAAAGATTCCCAGATTTCTGTTTCTTTGCTAGTAACTTCAGTATTAACTAGCCGGGATAACTGATCAGCAATCAAATTTTCACTCCCCTTTTTATCACGGATTCTACATCAAACTCTTATAGTAGTAACACCCATCTAATCAGACGCGGTTTAGAATCTGGCTTTCTCAACAAATATTTTATAGCTGAATGATCTGTGTAGATAATCACCTTAGACCCTATGAGATAAGATCTGAATTTCTCTAAAGCATAAACTATGGCTAGAAACTCCTTCTCAGTGGTAGCATAATTTAACTGGGCATCATTCAACACTTTGCTAGCATAATAGATAGTATGAAATACCTTCCCTTTTCTCTGACCAAGGACAACTCCTATTGCATAATCACTAGCATCACACATTAATTCAAAATTTTGATTCCAATATGGGGCTATAATCACTGGGGTCGAAATCAATCTGCTTTTCAATGTATCAAAAGCTTTCAAACATTCATCATTCATCACAAAAGGTATATCTTTAACCAACAAATTACTCAATGGTTTTGCAATTTTTGAGAAATCTTTAATAAATCTTCTATAGAATCCCGCATGGCCTAAGAAGCTTCTGATTTCCTTCACATTTGTTGGTGGAGGAAGTTTCTCAATAACCTCTACTTTAGCTTTGTCTACTTCAATCCCTTTAGTAGAAATCTTATGCCCCAACACAATTCCTTCTATTACCATAAAATGACATTTCTCCCAATTAAATACCAAATTCGTCTGAACACATCTTTTGAGAACAGTATCCAGATTCATCAAACACTTATGAAAGGAATCTCCAAAGACAGAGAAATCATCCATGAAAACTTCAATGCACTTTTCCATGAGATCTGAAAAAATTGCCTGCATACACCTTTGAAATATGGCTGAGGCATTACATAATCCAAATGGCATCTTTCTATAAGCAAAAACACCAAAAGGACGTGTAAATGCAATCTTTTCTTGATCTTTTGGGTCTACCACAATTTGATTGTAACCAGAATATCCATCCAGAAAACAATAAAAAGACTGACCTGTCAATCTCTCCAGCATTTGATCCATGAAAGGAAGAGGAAAATGATCCTTCCTGGTAGCTTTATTCAATTTTCTATAATCAATGCACATTCGCCATCCAATAACAGTCCAAGTAGGAATGAGCTCATTCTTCTCATTATGGATTATTGTCATTCCACTTTTCTTTGGAATTACCTGTACTGGATTTACCCATTCACTGTCAGAGATTGGATAAATAATGTTAGCTTCCAAGAGCTTCAATACTTCTTTTCTAACCACCTCCTTCATGACAGGATTTAATCTTTTTTGTGGTTGAGCACTCGGTTTATAATCATCTTCCATAAAGATCCTGTGCATGCAATAAGTTAGACTTATACCTTTAAGATCTGAAATTGACCACCCAATAGCTTCTTTGTTGGCTTTCAATATTTCTACCAACTTTTCTTCTTCTTCATGAAGCAAAGAATTACTGATGATGATTGGCTTTGTTCCATCTTTTTCTAGAAAAACATACTTTAAATGTGATGGTAGCATTTTTAATTCTAACTTCTTTGCTTTAACTTCCTCTTTGGTATCAATTGTTTCAAACTTAGCATTTTCCACTGGAATCTCCTTCAATGTCTACAAATCCGTCATACATTCATCAATCAATTTTTCTTCTTCTTCATTTAAATCTTCACAAGCATCAATAAGAGTTTTCTCTAATGGAGAAGAATAACGTACCATCCTTTCTTGCACCATGCAAACTTCATCAAGTATATCAAATTGAAAACATGCTTTGTCATCTTTTGGATNCATGATTATGAGCATCTTTAAACAAGGAAGGCCAATAAAATCCTAACTGGAGAAATTTTGTTGTTGTTCTTTCTCCATTAAAATGTCCTCCATAAGGTGAATCATGACAGTGCCAGAGAATGCCTTCTGCTTCTTCATTTGTTACACATCGCCTCAGAAGGTTATCTACTCCAATTTTGAACAAATAAGGATCATCCCAAATTAACTGCTTGGCATCATGTAAAATTTTTTTTCTTTATTGCCAATTGAGATCTTCTGGGATTACTCCTGCAGCTTTAAAATTAGCCATATCAGCAAACCACGGTCTTTGTTGGATGTACATGAGTGTTTCATGTGAGAAAGATTCCCAGATTTCAGCTTCCTTGCTTGTAACTTCACTGTTAATCAACCTGGATAAGTGATCAACAATTACATTTTCACTCCCCTTTTTGTCGCGGATTTCCACATCAAACTCTTGTAGTAAAAGCACCCATCTAATCAATCGCGGCTTAGAATCTGACTTGGTTAACAAATACTTTATATCTACATGATCTGTGTATATAATCACTTTAGACCCAACAAGATATGGTCTAAACTTCTCCAAAGCATAAACAATAGCAAGAAATTCTTTTTCTGTGATGGCATAATTCAACTGAGCTTCATCCAAAACCTTGCTTGCGTAATAGATAGTATGAAATACTTTCTCTTTTCTCTGACCAAGCATAGCTCCTATTGCATAATCATTGGCATCACACATTAGTTCAAAATTTTGATTCCAATCTGGAGCTACAATCACTAGGGCTGACACCAATTTGGCTTTCCAAAATATCAAAAGCTTTTAAACATTCTTCATTCATCACAAAAGGCCTATCTTTAACTAGCAAATTACTCAATGGTTTAGCAATCTTCGAGAAGTCTTTAATAAATCTTCTATAAAACCCAACATGGCCTAAAAAACTTCTAATCCCCTTCACATTTGTCGATGGTGGAAGCTTCTCAATAACTTCTACTTTGGCTTTATCCACTTCAATCCCCCTAGCAGAAATCTTGTGACCCAACACAATTCCTTCTGTTACCATGAAATGACATTTCTCCCAATTAAGCACAAGATTCGTTTGAACACATCTCTTGAGGACAATATCCAGATTTGCCAAACACCTTTGGAAAGAATCTCCAAACACCGAAAAAACATCCATGAAGACTTCGATACACTTCTCTATGAGATCTACAAATATTGCCTGCATACACCTTTGAAATGTAGCTGGAGCATTACATAACCCAAATGGAATCTTTCTGTAAGCAAATACACCAAATGGACACGTAAATGTTGTCTTCTCCTGGTCTTTTGGATCTACCACAATTTGATTATATCCAGAATATCCATCTAGGAAGCAATAAAAAGCCTGACCTGTCAATCTTTCTAGCATCTGATCCATAAAAGGAAGAGGAAAATGATCCTTCCAAGTAGCCTTATTTAACTTCCTATAATCAATGCACATTCGCCATCCTGTAGCAGTCCTAGTAGGAATAAGCTCATTCTTCTCATTATAGATTATTGTCATCCCACCTTTCGTTGGCACTACCTGTAGTGGACTCACCCATTCACTATCAAAGATTGGATATATAATGCCAGCTTCCAAAAGCTTCAGTACTTCTTTTCTAACCACCTCCTTCATCACCGGATTTAACCTTCTCTGAGGTTGAGCACATGGTCTATAATCATCTTCCATAAATATTTTATGCATGTAGTAGGTTGGACTTTTACCTTTGAGATCTAAAATTCACCATCCAATAGCTTCTCTGTTGGCTTTCAATATTTCTACCAACTTTTCTTCCTCTTCAGGGAGCAAAGAATTACTAATGATGATTGGTTTCGTTCCATCTTCTTCTAAGAAAACATACTTCAAATTTGATGGTAACATCTTTAGCTCCAACTTCTTTTCTTTGACTTCTTCTTTGGTATCAATATTCTCAAAATTAGCCTCCTCCACTGGGATCTCTTTCAATGTCTCCAACTCCGTCATACACTCATCAATTAATTTTTCTTCCTCCTCATTCAAGTCTTCACAGGCATCAATAAGAGTTTTTTCTAACGGAGAAGAAAAATGTACCATCTTCTCTTGCACCATACAAACTTCATCAAGCATATCAAATCGGAAACATGTTTTATCATCTTTAGGGTGTGTCATGGCTTTGAATACATCAAAATCCACTTCTTCATCTTGAACTCTCACTTTAAGCTTGCCATTCTCCACATCAATTAAAACTCTTGCAGTCTTCATAAATGGTCTCCCCAGGATAAGAGGCACATCTCCATTCACCACCCAGCTTCTTTGTTGATCACTGACAGCTGGATCAATTAATTCAATTGCTCCATGTGGACGCACATTCTTCACTATGAATGACCCGGACCATTTTGACTTCAACTTTCCAGGAAACAACTTCAATCTTGAATTGAACAATAGCATCTATTGTCCTGGATTGAAAAATTTCTTTATCCACTTCCTGTCATGATAGAATTTTACCTTTTCTTTGTAGTTTCTGGATGAATCATATGCATGCAACCACATCTCTTTAAGTTCCAACATTTGCCTTCTACGCTTATTTTGAGTTTCAGAAGGATCAAAATTCAGAAATTTAAGCGCCCATAAGGCTTTATTCTCCATCTCCACTGGTAAATGACATGCTTTCCCATAGACAAGCTGATAAGGTGATAAACCCATAAATGTCTTCATTGCAGTCCTGTATGCCCAGAGAGCATCATCAAGTTTATGTGACCAATCCTTTCTTGACATAGCAACTGTTTTCTCCAATATTCGCTTGATTTCTCTGTTAGATACTTCAGCTTGCCCATTAGTCTGTGGATGATAAGGTGAAGCTACCTTATGTCTCACACCATAATGTTTGAGTACCTTAGAAAGCTGATAATTACAAAAATGAGATCCTCCATCACTAATGAGTACTCTAGGAGTTCCAAAGCGTGCAAATATTTTCTTCTTTAGAAATTTAATCATAGTGCTTGCATCATTTTTAGGACACGCCAATGCTTCTACCCATTTACTCACATAATCTACCGCCACCAAAATGTATTCATTGTTGAAAGATGGTGGAAATGGTCCTACAAAATCAATGCCCCAGCAATCAAAGACTTCAACTTTTAGAATGCCTTGTAATGGCATTTCATGACGTCTTGAAATATTTCCAGTTCGTTGACACCTGTCACAATTCCTGGCATGATTATGAGCATCTTTAAATAAAGTAGGCCAATAAAAACCTGATTGGGGAACTTTTGTTGTTGTTCTTTCTCCATTGAAATGTCCTCCATATGGTGAATCATGACAATGCTAGAGAATTCCTTGCTTCTTCATTGGTAAAACATCGCCTCAAGAGATTATCTGCTCCTATTTTAAATAAGTAAGGGTCATCCCAAATAAACTACTTGGCATCAAGCATAAATTTCTTTCTTTGTTGCCAATTAAGATCTTCTGGAATTACTCCTACAACTTTAAAATTTGTCAAATCAGCAAACCACGACCTCTTTTGAATATACATGAGTGTTTCATCCGAAAAAGATTCCCAGATTTCTGTTTCTTTGCTAGTAACTTCAGTATTAACTAGCCGGGATAACTGATCAGCAATCAAATTTTCACTCCCCTTTTTATCACGGATTCTACATCAAACTCTTATAGTAGTAACACCCATCTAATCAGACGCGGTTTAGAATCTGGCTTTCTCAACAAATATTTTATAGCTGAATGATCTGTGTAGATAATCACCTTAGACCCTATGAGATAAGATCTGAATTTCTCTAAAGCATAAACTATGGCTAGAAACTCCTTCTCAGTGGTAGCATAATTTAACTGGGCATCATTCAACACTTTGCTAGCATAATAGATAGTATGAAATACCTTCCCTTTTCTCTGACCAAGGACAACTCCTATTGCATAATCACTAGCATCACACATTAATTCAAAATTTTGATTCCAATATGGGGCTATAATCACTGGGGTCGAAATCAATCTGCTTTTCAATGTATCAAAAGCTTTCAAACATTCATCATTCATCACAAAAGGTATATCTTTAACCAACAAATTACTCAATGGTTTTGCAATTTTTGAGAAATCTTTAATAAATCTTCTATAGAATCCCGCATGGCCTAAGAAGCTTCTGATTTCCTTCACATTTGTTGGTGGAGGAAGTTTCTCAATAACCTCTACTTTAGCTTTGTCTACTTCAATCCCTTTAGTAGAAATCTTATGCCCCAACACAATTCCTTCTATTACCATAAAATGACATTTCTCCCAATTAAATACCAAATTCGTCTGAACACATCTTTTGAGAACAGTATCCAGATTCATCAAACACTTATGAAAGGAATCTCCAAAGACAGAGAAATCATCCATGAAAACTTCAATGCACTTTTCCATGAGATCTGAAAAAATTGCCTGCATACACCTTTGAAATATGGCTGAGGCATTACATAATCCAAATGGCATCTTTCTATAAGCAAAAACACCAAAAGGACGTGTAAATGCAATCTTTTCTTGATCTTTTGGGTCTACCACAATTTGATTGTAACCAGAATATCCATCCAGAAAACAATAAAAAGACTGACCTGTCAATCTCTCCAGCATTTGATCCATGAAAGGAAGAGGAAAATGATCCTTCCTGGTAGCTTTATTCAATTTTCTATAATCAATGCACATTCGCCATCCAATAACAGTCCAAGTAGGAATGAGCTCATTCTTCTCATTATGGATTATTGTCATTCCACTTTTCTTTGGAATTACCTGTACTGGATTTACCCATTCACTGTCAGAGATTGGATAAATAATGTTAGCTTCCAAGAGCTTCAATACTTCTTTTCTAACCACCTCCTTCATGACAGGATTTAATCTTTTTTGTGGTTGAGCACTCGGTTTATAATCATCTTCCATAAAGATCCTGTGCATGCAATAAGTTAGACTTATACCTTTAAGATCTGAAATTGACCACCCAATAGCTTCTTTGTTGGCTTTCAATATTTCTACCAACTTTTCTTCTTCTTCAGGAAGCAAAGAATTACTGATGGTGACTGGCTTTGTTCCATCTTTTCTAGAAAAACATACTTTAAATGTGATGGTAGCATTTTTAATTCTAACTTCTTTGCTTTAACTTCCTCTTTGGTGTCAATTGTTTCAAACTTAGCATTTTCCACTGGAATCTCCTTTAATGTCTCCAAATCCATCATACATTCATCAATCAATTTTTCTTCTTCTTCATTTAAATCTTCACAAGCATCAATAAGAATTTTCTCTAATGGAGAAGAATAACGTACCATCCTTTCTTGCACCATGCAAACTTCATCAAGTATATCAAATTGAAAACATGCTTTGTCATCTTTTGGATGTGTCGTGGCTTTAAATACATCGAAATTTACTTCTTCATCTTGAACACTCAATTTGAGCTTACCATTCTCCACATCAATTAAAACTCTAGCAGTCTTCATAAATGGTCTCCCCAGAATGAGAGGTACATATCCATTTTCCTCCATCTCCATGATAACAAAATCCACTGGAAAAACAAATTTGTCTACCTTGACCAGTACACCTTCAACTACTCCATAAGGATATTTAAGAGACCTGTCCGCCAATTGAAGTGCCATTCTAGTGGGTTTGAGCTCTAAGCCCTGAATTCTTAAATATAGAAAGCGACATCAAATTAAAGCTAGCTCCCAAATCAATTAGAGCTCTTCCAACTTCCAACTCTCCTATAGTGCATGGAATAGTGAAACTCCCTGGATCTTTAAACTTGGGGGGTAATTGTTGTATGATTGCACTACAATTACCTTTTACTTCAATGGTCTCCTTCTAAATATATTTTCTCTTCTTTGTAAGGAGTTATTTCAAAAACTTTGCATAAGATGGCATCTGTTGCAATGCTTCTGAGAAAGGAATGGTAATCTCTAGTTTTTTAAACATCTCCATGAACCGCTCAAATTGTTTTTCTTTTTCCTTCCTTGAATAAATCTTTGGATAAGGAAGTATTTTTTCTAACTCTCTCTCTTTTTCGCCTAACTCTTCTTTTTCTTTTTCTTTTTTTCTCTCATCTTCCTCTTCTCTCTTTTTTTCTTTCTCAATCATATCTTTCCACTCAAGTGTTTCTTTTTCACTCTCATTTTCTCTCCCTTTTCCCTCTATTTTTCTCTCCTCTAACACTTTACCACTTCTTGTTACAATGGTTTTACAATCTTCATTCAACGTGTTCTTTGCATTCTTTTCACAACCTTTTATCTTGTTAATCATTCGCCCAATATTCATCTTCATACTGTTAAATGCGTCTTCCACATTCTTACGATAAGATACACTTATTTTCATGAATTTCTGGAAAGTGTCCTCCAATTTTGTGTTTTTCTCATATGGAATAGGTTGTGATTGCCATTGTTGTTGCTACTTTTGAACCATTGAAATATTATATATCTCTTGAGGTAGTAGAGAAAGCTTCTATGTTACTTCTTCTAACTGTTGAATGATAATCTCATTTTGCGCAAATAAGGCGTCATAAGTTTGCATTTGTAACTTTACCATTTGTTGAATGGGAACTCCTATTTTGCTGTATAAATCATTATCACTAGCAGCCATGTTCTCTATTAATTCTGTTGCTTCCTCTGGAGTCTTACATTTAATATTACCTCCAGCTAAGGCATCTAACATCAACTTGGTTTGTGAACCAAGACCTCCAAGGAAAAATAGAACTATTAATACTTCATCAAAACCGTGCATGAGAGTCTTTCTCAAAAAGCTTTTGTACCTGTCTCATGCTTGACCTAATGTCTCCTTCATGCCTTGTCTGAAAGAAGAGATCTCTTGCTTCCCTTTGTTGACTTTAGATTGTGGGAAATATTTGTTTAAAAACTTTGCAACCACAGCTTCCCATTCTGTAAAACTACCTTCTGGATAAGAATTCAACCATAACTTAGCATTGCCTCCCAATGAGAAAGGAAACAAGCTAAGCTTGATTGCTTCATCTGGCACTCCATTTATCATCACGGTGTTACAGATTTCATTGAAGGTGGTGAGATGTTCATATGGGCTTTCATGTGATAGCCCATTAAACTGATTGCTTTTCACCAAATGTATCAACGCTGGTTTCACCTCCATGTTTGTAGCATTGACCCTTGGCCTTGATATACTGTTAAAATGTTGAGGGCCAACAAAAAGTGATGTAATTTGCAAGAGTCCGTCTCTCATTATTCTCCTCTGCTATTTTCAGTGCTATGGTAAGACCTTTGTGGTGAACGGTTGTAAGAGTGTCTCAGGAGCAAGGGAATAGTTCTCTTGAAAGTTCGAACTCTCCTCCTCCTTCTACTTTCGTCTAGGCCTTCAAGAAGAGGTTCATAAATCTTTTTGCTTCTAGTCCGAATATACCCTGTATACACAAGGAAAACAAAATCCTAGAAAAATTTGCTAGCACAACAAGATAGAAAGAGAAGAAATAATTGAGAAGATAAGAAGATAAAAATAAAAAGAAAAAAAAAACAGAAAACAGAAAAATAAAATAAAATAAAACAAATACAGAAAAATAAAAAAGAAAAAAAAATTCCAACAAGTCAAAAATAATCAAAAATCACACAAATAGACTAGTTAAACCAGAGTCCCCAGCAACGGCGCCAAAAACATTGATGAACAAATCTTGATCCCCAAAAATGGAGTCAAAGACTTGTTAACCCTCGGCAAGTATAACCAAATTATATCAAGTAATAAACCTAGTAAGACCAAGTATCGTTCTCCCAAAGCACTCACGTGTTACCAATGAGGAGCATTGGTATCTTGAAGCTATTGTGAAATTTTGATGATGATAAAGCTGAAGAATTGAAGACTCTAAATGCATATTTGTTAAACGCATTTTGTAGAAACAAATGTATTGGATAAAATGTAATGATGTAAAAACTCTTAGAAGTTTTCGTATTTAGTGAGTCTTGCACAAATAATCGATTATCAAGAGAATAATCGATTATCACGAGCCAGTTTAGAAGAGAGTTGCTTGCACAAATAATCGATTATACACAGAATAATCGATTATCACTGTTTCATTTAATTCTATCCAAGTCTCTGGAATAATCAATTAGTGCTCAAGATAATCGATTATCACTTTTTTGAAACCTCATAACGGACACAAATAATCGATTATCACTCATGATAATCGATTATCAGTGGCAGTTGGGAGATGTCTTTTCAGTTTTTGACCCTACACGAAACTAGGCTTATAAATAGAGATCTTCACAGCTCTTAGAAAGAACTTTTCAATGAGAGTATTAGAGCTTTGTGCCTAGGAAGCTCTCTATGAGTGAAAAGGATCTATGCCATTTGAGAATACAGTTTGTCTGAGGAAGTTTCAAAGTGATAGAGTGCTCTTGCCTAGTCTTGTGAATAGGAGAAGCTCGTGTTTTGTATGTCAAAGGTCGGAGCAGTTCTCTTCAAGTTGGCAAAGCTGTTGCTTCCGGTTCGTGCGTCGAAGGAAGCTCTTCCGGTTCGTTGTCGAAGGAAGTTTATTTGCTGCACTCTTCTGGTTCGTTTGTCGAAGGAAGGTGTTTTCTATTCTTTGCTCATTTCATTATCTTGTAATCTGTACAACTATATTTTTAGTGAAAAGGCTAATCACTGTTTATAGTGATAACGACTGGACGTAGAATCTTTTGATTCGAACCAGGATAAAAATTCTGTGTTGATTTTCTTGATCCTTAAACTCTTAGCACATCAACTGTTCGATAAAACTTCGCTAAGAAAATCAATTTCGAAACCGACTATTTTAACTTGTGTTGTGATCGTTACACGCTTTCCGCTATCAATATTTTATTCCGTTGCGCGACTCTATAACGGTACCGATTGTTCCGACATCACGGCCTAGACAGTTATGTGATTTATTGATTAATCAAGACTTGTGAACAAATTGTTGTAAGTTTCAAATGCAAAAGACTAAAAAGTAAATATGTATGCATGTGATGATCAATGGGCAAGAAGAAACAAAACACGTGAATTGAAATATATGGATGAATATGTTGTTGGGTTTTATCATTTTCATCCTATCCACTCCTGTATTTTAAGAATTCATCATTCTTTTCATTAATGTTAATGCCACTTTCTAAATTACTTAAAACTTGATGTCTCGACGAAGAAAGCATAATCATAATCACTAGTTTTACAATGTCTTGTCTACCTAGCAATTAATCATGCATTATAGTGAACAGAAGCTTAAAGGCAACCAACTATCATACTCCTATGTCTAGGTTTGTAATATACTGATGGGGAGAGATTCCCTAGATCTAGATTCCCCGTATGTCCATATCGACAAAACCAATAATCATGACGTCGAATGAGTTAAACAATGCATGCTTTGAGCAAAGAGGAAAAACACTAACTATTAATGAAAGAAAGCATGTATCATAAAATTGTCTTGAAGAACAAATTCCATACAAGAGAGTTTCTAAGGATTTACATTGATTCCCCCAACAAAATAGGTTTAGTTCACCATATTCATTGAAGAACTAGATGAACAATGGAATGAAAGAATGGAAGAGATAGAAAAATCCGAGAAAGAGAAGCGGACAGTCGTCACCATCTCCAATTCTACCCCCAAGGGATGAAAAGTGTTTTCTGGTTCGTTCCAGCCAAAGATACAAACCCTAGGACGTCCTAAAGCTTTATACTATTCTAAAAATACAAAAATTATGCCAAGCCCATAAAAGTGTCGCTCAGTTGTAGTAGCGCGTTCACTTCTTCCCCTCAGCGCCAGTTTTTCCCTCAGCGGTGCCAACGGGTACTGAAAAGTGCCGCTCAGCGGTAGTTGGCGCTGAGTGGTACTTGCTGATTTCTTCTTTTGCACTTTTTGTGTCCCTTTTCTGTCTCCATCTCTTTCCCTTTTCACTTGTTTCACCAATTTCATCTTAAAACCTGCAAAAACAAGGAAATCAAGCATAAAACCTGTCCAACTCTGTTATTTCTCATAATTCAACAAAATCATGAGTTTCAAGCTAATTTCTAAGTCATAAAGATTGTAATCGAAGTCAGTTTTAATTATAAAAATAACAGTTTTTCAACTGTTATCAATAACCACTTATTGTACCAAACTAATATCATCCTTCATATTGAACATAAGCATTTTTTTAGTTGTACAAAACCAACTTCAAAAATAACCACATCAGAATGAGTACATAACCAGTTACTGCACCAATAAATGTGATGAAATTTATCCTCAAGAACCACTAGATTTGTTCTACAAAACGAGTTTGATACTAGATCACAATCCCTTGATTGGATAACCACTTACTGGACTAACTAAGCATGTTCAACTTAAGCATTTTTGTAAATGTACAAAAAAAGCTTAAGAAATAATCACATACAATTGAGTACATGATAACGGTTGAAAAAACCGTTATTTTTATGCTTAAATTTGATACCAAAAGCAACCTTTAAGACTTAGAAACTAGCTTGAATTCATATTTTTGCTTTAGTTTTTGAGAATAAGAGAGTTGAAAGTGAATTTAATGGTTTTGTGCAACATTCCCTTCATTTTGTAGGCTAATTGAATGATTTGAAAGAAGAATTGAAATACCGAATGATTGGAGTGCTGAAAAGTCAACCAGAAACCAGAAAAGTCAACTAGTCA